TAAAAAATAATTATTATGCAGAAAAACAAGCCAAAAATTCAACAAAATAAGCCAAAAATGACATTTTTGTCTATTTCGAGTGTTTTAAGACAAAAACAAAAAACAAAATTTTTTTTGTTTAAATAGGTTAAAAAAATCACAAAAATAATTAAAATGGTTGTTTCACTCAATTTAAATAGTTTTTGGGGCTAATTAAGACAAAAGAAACACAAAAAAATGTTAAAAAGGTACGTTTTTTGTACTAAAATTTAAAGTTTTTCGTAATATTTCATTGAAACAAATTGACTCAAAAACTATAAAATTTTTCATTTTTTGAACGTTGCAATACGTTTTCCAACTTATTTCGTTGAAAAAGTGAATAAAGTGATGGTAAAATTGTGACGTTTGAATTTGGCAGTCATTGTTGCCAACTTAATTTCAAAATCACAGGCCACTCTAATCAAATTTGAATAAAGTGTTAAAAATAAATAAAAAAGCATTTCTTACCACACAAAATCATTATTTTCAACAAAAAACTACCATTTCATTGTTAAATAATACGTAATTTATAAAAAAACATATTTTAGACTCCCCTCTAGCGGACAGTAGCCAAAGCAGCTACCAAAAACAAATCACAAAAACGCAAATTCCCTAAATGATCGTTTATTAAACGTAATAAAAACACAAATGTGTTTTTATTTTATCGTTTTTATGTGTCAATATACAATTGAAGAATCCGTACAAATGTCACATAATCGGATCATCAAATCGAAACCTTACACTTACCCTAAAATGACTAGTTCTCCATATTTGACAAGTTGTTTTGGTTTTTCTGAGTTGGCACTCTCTTGTTCTTCTAATATTGGAGACTCGGTGCCATCCGATCTAAAAAAAAAACACACAATTAACTATTTTTGTGACAATTATGTTGCACGAAAACTAAACAATAAAATGTGCACGCAGGGGTGCCATTCGTGCAACTTTGACCCTGTTTTATTAATAATTCGTCCCGGATATCCCCCAAACATCGATCGCATTCTCGATTGATTGATGGTGGCTTTAAGGTCGCATCAATACAACAAAAGTTGAAAGTTGAGACTTACAAACACGAAAAAACTGTAATTAACTACGATTTCTAACGTAATTATAGCAATTTTCGTGGGCTTTATTGCCGTTGCATGCTTGAAAGCAATGATAACTCCCAGAGTTGTTTCCAACTAATCAGGTATTTAAATTAGAAAAAACTACGCCACTGTTTTGAAATTCCACTCGGAGACTCGGTTTCATGGTTTTGCAAGACCGTAACCTGATTTTCGAAATGTTTCACAAACTTCTCCGCCACTGCTTTTAAATTTCATTACCATGACAACTGACCATTTTGATTTTTTGTCGCTATGGTTACACACATGTTTCTATGACAACTGTACAAATTTGCACACTTAGCCGGCTCGTCTAGGGTGGAAAAAGGAGCTAATTTAGTTTTTAATTAATCAAGTGAAACGTTAAAGAAAAAAATCATAATTTTTTTTCGTAATTTTTCAGTGTTTTCGTAGCAGATAGTCGGTTATCGACCCTTCTCGATGTTAATAGACCGTAAATAGGACGCGACTCACATAAATACACGTATATATAATCTCAGAGTGACCAGGATCACGTCTTGGTTACATAAGACGCTCTATTAAAAGCACCAAAAGCAACGATCTGGAACCGAAGAGACATTTCCTGAAAGCCAGACTTTTATTTTCATTTTCTAACTAGTAACTGTATATTCTGATACTGAAACCGTTTCCGCCTATTACAAAGAACGGTCAATTTAAGAAAAAGAAAAAAAAAAAACACTATGACACATTCATGACAAAAAATTGCTTTGAGAGAAGTTTTTCTTAATTGTTTTTTGATTAATTTTCTTTAAAAATGTCTCTTGTACAAATCACTCCTCAAAATCTTTTAACAGTTTTTCCGGACATTCTATATTTGTTGATATTCACAATATTTTTTTTTACAATTCACTTTTTGCTTTTGTAATTATAGTTATTTTTTGTTTGCGAGTCAGATAGTGTGAAGTCTAGAGCTGCAAAGCCGCGAGCCCCCTTTAATTTTTGCTTTCTACACAACATATCAAATTCGACTGAATTTAACTCGTTTTTGAAACTACTAACACATTTTTATATTATTTCAATAGTTTTTGTTCTGATTTTGCTTTTTTCTTTATATTTTTATCACATCTATCTTCTTTGTTGCTACTATAATTCTATTCTTTTTTTTCCTTACAACAGTTTTTGTAATTATAGTTATTTTTGTTTGTGAGTCAGTTAGTGTGAAGTCTAGAGCGGCAAAGCCGCGATCCCCCTTTAATTTTTATTTTCGACACAACATTTCCAATTCGACAGAATTTAACTCGTTTTTGAAACTACTAACACATTTTTTTTATTATTTCAATAGTTTTTGTTCTGATTTTGCTTTTTTCTTTATATTTTTTATCACATTTATCTTTTTTGTTGCTATTATAATTCTATTCTTTTTTATCCTTACAACAGTTTTTGTAATTATAGTTATTTTTGTTTGTGAGTCAGATAGTGTGAAGCCTAGAGCGGCAAAGCCGCGAGCCCCCTTTAATTTTTATTTTCGACACAACATTTCCAATTCGACAGAATTTAACTCGTTTTTGAAACTACTAACACATTTTTTTATTTCAATAGTTTTTATTCTGATTTTGCTTTTTCCTTTATATTTTTTTCACATCTAACATTTTTGTTGCTACTATAATTCTATTCTTTTTTTTCCTTACAACAGTTTTTGTAATTATAGTTATTTTTGTTTGTGAGTCAGATAGTGTGAAGCCTAGAGCGGCAAAGCCGCGATCCCCCTTTAATTTTTACTTTCTACACAACATTTCGAATTTGACAAAATTTAACTCGTTTTTGAAACTACTAACACATTTTTTTTATTATTTCAATAGTTTTTATTCTGATTTTGCTTTTTCCTTTATATTTTTTTCACATCTAACATTTTTGTTGTTAATATAATTCTAATCTTTTTTTTTTCCTTAAAACAGTATATACAGAGTGTGTTCGGAAATGCGAAACAATTCATGTGAAAGATAAGAAATTCTCGAAAACGATAAAAGTTTTACTTTCAAAGCAAAAAATTAGCGCTCTAAACGTTTGAAAAGTTAAAAACTTTTGAAAAATATAGGTTTTATGTTTCTTTGTAAAGATAACAATTATTTTTGCTTTAAAAAGGAAAAGCAAAAGTTGTAACAATTTGATTATTCAAAAAAAAAATTAAAAGATTGCGACCTAATAAATTATATTTCTCAAAATTTGAACTATGCAAGTTGTAATTTAGTAACAAATGACCATTTTAAAAACGAATAAAAAATATAGGTGTTTCTTTTTATTTGTCAAAAATTATTAGTTTTGCCCAGAATTAGAAAAATAGATGGCCATTTAAAACGTCAAAAACTTCTGAAAAATGTAGGATTTTGGTTCAATTGTTTTTTTTTCTCAGATTGAAAAATAGTAACAAAAAACCAAAATTTCTAACAATTTGAACTATTGCAAGCTGTAATTTAGACACAATAATGAAAAGCAAAATTTTCAGCAATTTTTACTGTCGCACATTGCAATTTAGTCACAAATGGCGGTTTAAAACTTCAAAAACTTTTGAAAAATTTAGGCTTTTTGTTTTTTTTTCAAATTAAAAGATAGTGACATAAAAAGCAAAATTCTTAACATTTGGATTATTCGTAATAAATCATAAGTATTATTTTGAAATCGATAGTCCTGAAAAGCAAAATTTTCAGAAATTTTTACAGTCCCAAAGTGCAATTTAGTCACAAATGTCCGTTTAAGACCCCAAAAATATGTTTTTTTTTTGTTTGTTTTTTTTTTATAAAGACAATTATTGATTTTGCTTTTAAACACCTGCATCTGAATCTGAAATCAAATCGACGACAAACAATGCCTATTTGGTAAACGAAATAACATCCATTTTTTACGTTTCGGGTTGACTGAACCGGTAATTACCGCGTGGTCGACAAGCTAATGAATCGTTATCTAAGCTTGGTGGAATATATTTATTACAGTGACCCTTTAATTACAACAGAAAATGTATCATTAACACAGGAATGTCGARAACAAAAAATAAATTAGCTCCTTTTTCCACCCTAGACGAGCCGCCTAAGTGCGCAAATTTGTAWCGTTGTCATAGAAACAATACTGAAAATATGTGTAACTATAGCAACGAAAAATAAAAATTGGAAGTTGTCATGGTAATAAAATATAAGGCCAGTGGCGGGTGATTTTCATGCCAAGTCATACCTAACCGTTTTTATTCAAATTTGTTTCCGTTATTGAAAATAAATGACCTACTTTTCACTTGTCTTCAAAATATTCCAAATTAATTACATATTGCGATTTAATGAATTTATACAGATTCTTGAAGCGCTCTAAATACTAGATTATCGAAAGCAGACATGTAAACGATATGATAATTATAATCACTCATTGGAATTTATTTTGTGGGTCAAGGTCATCAAATATACCTTGTCAKGAATTATATTTACTGACAAAAAAATTGAATATTATACAAGGTGAATCTAAAAAATTTGTCCTCTTTGTTAAGAACTCTCATTTCTAGTATCCCATTGTTTAAAATAAAAATTTTGCAATAACCTAGCTGCTAACAAGAGAATTAGCACTTGTTTTTATTAAAATAATAAACATTACACCATTGTGTAAACTTCATATAAACGATGTTACAGTTTCTAATTTGCATCGGTGAGAAACGTTACTTCAATGGTTACGGGTCGTTTTGTTGACCCGGGAAACCAAAAACCTTTCACCTAACCTCTTTCGTTAATGACCATAACACAAGGAAATTAATCGAGGAAAAAAAAACATAACTTATTTGCAATGATCCAAAAATCGACTCAATAGAAAACCCAGTTTCACATTTTTACTTAYCGTAAAGTCGGACAATAGCTCGAAACGGTCAACGGTTTATAACAACCAAGAACGTGAAGAGGTAAAGGTTGTACTGCCGCGGGCCGTAAAAAAATCAATAAAAAATTAAATGAAAAAAAATGTAACCCTTTTCCATCCTCGACGAGCCGCCCAAGTGCACTAATTTATATAATTGCCATGGAAACACTAGTGTAACCATAGAAACAAAAAGAAAAATTGTTAGTTGTCATGGTAATAACATTAGAAACCAGTGGCGGGTAATATTACAATGAAACGACAAAAAACTCGACGCATTATTATCGTGCCAAAAATAAAGATAATAAAACCTTCATCATTGTTTTGKTTATTATCGCAGTACGATGCTCCGATAATAAACACGAAACGGTTATTAAACAAAGAATTTYAAAAATTCTCCCAATTTCGGTCGTGAAAGTAAGTCAAGATTAATAAAAAAAAAATTATGCAAATTTGTTCACGTCGTTGTAACTAATGACATGCATTTTTAACGTGTTTTTAGGAACTAGAGACAAAAAGTTCACACACACAACATTTATAAATACTTAATGAATATCGAATCGGACAGATATTTCAAGCAACACATGCTATAATATAYTAGGCACTGGACTAAAATTCTCTCGCGTTCAATATTGACATGTTATCAATGTTAGCAAAAAAAATATTTGTTTTAGTCGTGGTGGTGATAATTTTAAGGACAGGAAAAWTCAAATTTCCATAACCTCAAATTTCCAACCTAAACGAGTCGGCCATGAATAGGTTGCTATAGTAATACATTGACGTATGTATGTAACTATGGTAACAAAGAAATACAAAAATAAAAAACGTCTTTTTGGACAAAAAATTTTGCTCATTTTCAATTTTCCTCTTAGTCACTACATTAAAACAATTGTCAAGAATGACTAGTCATTTTCTCGTGATTCATTCAAAATATTATTATTTACTTGGAATATTTATTATCTTGCGAAACAGATAAGACAAGTACGCCGGAATTTTGTCCTCAACCTGTCAAATAATGTCTAAAATTTCCGATTATCACAGTACCAGTCGTGTAAACGCCCCTTTAGCCACCTGAGAGAAAAAAAAGCCGATCGTTGACATTTCTCGTGACAAACATGGCCCTTTGTCGTCGTAATAATCGTCCGAAAATCAATAATGAAGCGATGAGATCGCGATAGCCCCCTTATGGGGCGTAGCCACCCACCTTTTCACCATTTCTGAAGCCGTCTTAAACAGTTTGGCTGCGATTGTTGAAACACATAAAACTGATCACTGGAATCGCTGTTTCACTGGAAACATCACGATCACTAGATTCGTCGACATGATCACTGGGGGRACTTTCACGGGGGATTCGCAAGACAGCACGARTTCCAGGAGGTGAAACAACACGTTGATGGATTAACACGGACACTAACAATGGCGCGTATGTCGATCGTGGGGGACGGTGGGATGTAAACATTGGATGTGTGCTGACATCTGGTGGGACCGGAAGTGAAAGATTTGAATTATGACAGATGACAGTGGCGGGGAATATGATTTTCTAATTTTTGTTAAGAGAGTTTAATTGAGACAAAAAACGATGGAAAATTGTGATGGTCAGGACCGGCTTTCAGTAATGCCAACGGTGATTGGTGAAATTCCCAGATTTCATAAATTTCATTGCAAAACTAAGTGCAAAATCTCTGTTTACAGCTGTTTTCACCTACAAGGTCACTGATTTTGTCTCAAAGTGAGTCGATTTAAAATGTTTTTCACCAAAAATCGAGAAAAAACTGAATATTGTGCAATGTTTGGCGTGATATAAAGCATTTTTTTTTAAATAAGTTACTAGTTTAAAAAATTTGAGAGAAAATTGCAAAATACATACATCTAAAATGCTTAATTTCTCTGTGTTCCACTCGATTTAGACAATTTTTATGTAAAATAACCCTAATTTTCGCAAATAAAAATTAAAAAAATGTCAAAAGCAGGCCTAAAATTAGTTTTTTTTGTGGTTTACCTCCCCAAAAGACCAAATCAAATTTGACTATTAAAATTAAGACATTACCAAACGTGATATCAATCCCTAAATCGATTAAAGTAAAAATTTTTGTTTAAAAATGACAAACTAGAAAAAATAGTATCAAAAAATTTGTTTTATACGAACTTGACGCACTTATTCTTTAAAATATCTACGCCACTCGGTTTTTAAACTTGAATTCGTGCATCAAAACTTACATTGAAATCAACAAAAAACAATTAAAATTTCAGCTTTAAAATTGATCCATTTAACGTTTCTTAGAGGTGTTAAAGACTCAAAAAAGTGCATAAAACGTTATTGGGTCAAGTTTCAAAAATTACGATTTTTTCGAATGTTTGAGCAGTAAAATCGTAAAAATAGTCAATTTACTAAAAATCGTAAAAACGGATGAAATATGGTTTTCTAGACGTAAAATTACGCGCTGAACACAATGCAACAAGTTAAAATACTCTACGATGCATAGTTTTTGAGATATTGAGTAATAAAGTTAAGAATAAGGCTAAAAGTAAAAGCACTATATCCGATTTTGACCAAAAATCAACATTTTTTGATTCTTATGAAAAACTAGTACTATATGTAAAATTAACCGGAGAACACGCCTGTACAAACCCTGTTGACCTAAGACTCATAGTTTTTGAGATATTAATTTTTTTTTGAAAAAACTAAAAATGGCTTTGTACCCGGAACCATAACCCGGAGCGAGTTCCGGTTTGCGCCGGTAAATAGATAATTTTAAGCTAATTTTAATGGTTTTTACCCCTTTGCTCTAAGTTCTATAGTTTCGTAGAAAAACACGTTTAAAGTTTCACAATTTTTACAATTTTCACTTTTTGAACGGCGATTACGGCCAAACTATTAGACTTAGAGCAAAGAATTTAATTCCATCGTAATCAGCGTAAGAAAATCTATCGACTGAGGCCAAAGCCAAGTCGATATCTCGCAAAAAATTTTGAATTTTTAAACGCCGATTACGGCGAAACTAAAG